CTTTGCTGAGCCCCAGCCCAGATGATCCACTGCCAATTCTTGCGTTTTAATTGAGTTCGGCAGGAGGCGGAGAAGAATTTCCATTCGGAAGAAGAAACGACTGGAATAAACCACACTGCGCGGAGCTCTAACCTGCCCAGACTGGCGAAAATCTATCCACAACCAGCTATATTCAGAATCACAGCCCTGTTGAGGTTTCATTGTATTCGGCAAAGCGAGCCAAGGACCATAACTACGTGTCGCAATACTGCAAGTATTAAGGGTTGCCAGACTGGCCGACATCAACCGTTCCTCAGAAGAAGGGTCACCTGACCCGAAATGTTAACTGATTTCTCTCCACAGATACTACCAGACCTGCTGAGCTTTTCCAGCAATTTGTTTTTGTTTCTGATTTGCAACATCGACAATTTTTTTTTCTGTTTTTACAACCTTTCAAAGTTAGCTGCAAATGACTGCTAAGGAAGAACAAAAAAAACCACACACACATTGCAATACTAACGAACTCAGATTAAAATATATATTTTAAAGGTCAGTTTACGGGAACTGGATGCAGTTTTTTTTTGCACTGAGTGCGCTGGGTCATCGAAACGATGGTGCTCGGCGAGTGATGCTGGAAAACATTAGCAGGTTTGACCTAAGCCACAAGACATAGCTCACTGCAGAAACTCAGCTGTTGTCATTAACGGCGGAGAGAAACTGGGACTTTTAACCAGAAAAACGACTGCACACTTCGTGGGGGGAGGGGCAATGTGGGTTGGTAGTGGTGTGGTGTGGAGGTAGAGAGCTGCCCTGGTTAATGATTGACCAGAGCTGGGAGCTGGTTAGGGGACGTGAAAACTATTAAATAAAGTTGGCCCGTGTTGTCGCTGTGATCTGCTGACTCAAGGTTATTGCTGAGAACCCATGTCATTTAATCACATTGGATGGACATTATCATTCCAGTCAATCGTGAAAACCTGGTCTCTTCAGCACTTCCATCCTGGTTTAAATGTAAAACAAAATAGAGAGGCAACTTTTTTGAGCAGATGAACCACCTCTAATTGCTAACAAAGTGACACTGACCCTTCTTTTACAAGTCGCTGATCTTTAGTGGGGAGGAATGCAGTACTGAATGCACACATGGGTCTCCTTGCTATATCTGAACATGGGATAGTTTGAGTTAACCATCATCATGCTCCCCAACTGCAAAATTTCATTACTGCTTGTGTTTTTCCTGATGCGCACAGATTTGCCACATTTGTATAAGCAAACAGCAAGGGCACTAGGGCACTTTACGGTCATCGCTGGCCGCAAGCTCTTTGGGACGACCTCGGTGCGGTGGAAGTGTCAGCTTTACCTTTGTAATTGAGTCATGGCAGTCACTGTTCCCTGTTATTTCCGTTGCCCAAGCCCTAAGCTCTGGAATTCAGTTCGTAAGTTTCTCTCTGCCTCCCTCCAAAGACATCTCTGAAAACCCAGCTGTGTCAGGCCAGAACCTGGTTGAATGCAGTTATGTTTCCTTACGTAGCTCTGTATCAGATTGTGTTTGGTAGTTGCTCCTGCGAAGCGCCTTGGGATGTTAGTTACTACATTTATGCAAGTTGACGTTAAAAATGATTCCAGAATTCTACAAATTATACCAGAACATTTCTTCTAAGTCCCTGGGGAGAGCGCAGTTTCAGTCACCATTGTCCCGTCTCCCTCCAGCCCAAAGTCTGAGATAGTCTGAGATAGGGTGCATTGTTGTAAAAGTTACAGGAGGCGTCACGGACGGTCAGCTTCTCTTCCCACAAGTAATTGGGAAACCTGACTATAAATTAACCAAACACCCAATCACAATCAGCATTCACAAGCAATGAAATGAATATGCCTTCTTTCCTCACCTTCCTTCCCTCTGATACATGACTGAAGCAAAAACAAAATGCTGGAGATCACAGCAAGTCATGCAGCACCCATAGAGAGACAGCAAGCTAATGGTTCCAGCCTCGATGACTCTTCATCAGAGCTGGTAAAGTGTGGAGGGGGCAGCCTTTATGCAGTGAGGGGTTTAGAGTGCTGGGGTGAAAAGGATGTTGATAGTTCAGATTAAATGATCAGAATGTGAGAATGGCAGAACAATGGTTTGTCTAAACTACCAGACAGGAAAGAACAGACAGTCCCCCTCCCCCCGGGGGGTGGGTGGTAGCGGTGGAACTGTGCAGCATTCAAGAAGGACATGGAAATCACAGCTGTCTACCTATAAAACACGGTCAATACAGTGTGGAGCTGGGGGAACACAGCAGGTCAGGCAGCATCAGAGGTGTCGGAAAGTCGACGTTTCGAGTCGGGACCCGTCATTAGGACTCTTCCTGCTCCTCCGATGCTGCCTGACCTGCTGTGCTCCTCCAGCTCCACACTGTGTTGACTCTGACTCCAGCATCTGCAGTTCTTGCTATCTACCTATAAAACACAGGTAGCTACATCACATCTCCAGCAATCAAGTGTGGCACTGAGCTGAAATACGGTCCCCAATTTGCTCACGGGTCTTGTGTTGGGCAGTGTGCACAGATTGGGAGGCGATAACCTACTGGTCTTATCGCTGGACTATTAATCCGGTAGATGGGTTTGAATTCCACCATGGTGGATGGTAAAATTTTAATTTCAAAGAAAATCTGATAATAAGGTGGAGGGTCCATTTGGTTCACTAAGGGAAGAAGTCGACATATGACTCTAGACCCACAACAATGCGGTTTAATCTTAACAGCCCTTTGGGCAATGAATGAAAAATTCAAGAAGGCAGCTTACCACTACCTTCTCAAGGGCAATTAGAGATGGGCAATGAAATGCTGGCCAGCCAGCGATGTCCATGTCCCTTGAATTAAAAACAAAATTCAGAGGTATTCAAAACTAGGAACGATTTTGACAGGGTAAAGATGGATATTCCATTAGATTGTATGTCAGTAACTAGGGGTCGCGATTTTGTCAGCAAGAGAGCTAGGGGTGAGGGGAGGACAAACATCTTTACTCGGGGAGTTAATACGATTTGTAATGAACTGCCAGGGAGAGGATTCCACGGGAGGTTTCAAAAGAGATCGCGATACATATTTTAAAGTGATGAATTTAGAGGGCTATCAAAATAGACTAGCGAGTGGGACCAGCTGGGTAGCTCCTTTAAGAGCCCGTACAGACACGATGGACTGAACGGCCTCCTCTACTGTAAAATGCGCTGATTCTAATTCTATGATTTTTTAAAAAGTTCAGTCTCGCATGTCCTTCGGTTTTCACTGCCGAACACTATTAATTGTCCCTGCAGAATGCATCGGACAGGATCATGCTCGGCCCATAGTGAAACAACCCATTAACAAATGTTTGTTTATGTCCAAGTGAGGGTTTAGATCAGATTTCGGAGGTGGCCTGGTGCCATGTAGCAATGTTATTACACACAGTTTTCAGGTAACAAGGTAAAGGAGAATAAGGAAACCGTGAAATTTAACACAAATGCAGACTGCGTCGGGAAAAATAAAATCAGTCGCTGCGTTTTCAAGTACTCGGAGACTGTTTAGAGCACAGTTACCAGCTTAACTGGTATTCACTGCTCTGTGCAGAGCTATAAATGTTGATTCTTTACAGCACAGCCTCCTCTGGACTTGCCCCTTGGTAAAACATTTTTAGTAGAGCAGGTGCCCCACACAATGAAATGCAAAGCAGCGCTGCCTCGAAGACATGGAATATTCATCCCCTGGAACAAGCTCTATTATAACTGCCAACATCAACCATTTCCACCCCCCACCCCCAGCTGTGTTTTTGTCCCCACGCTCGGCGACGTCTGATAGTGTAAAACTGTCACTGTGCTTTTCATTGACGGATTCTGGCGCAAGTTACCTCGTGGTTGATGATCTAAATCATCAGGAAAATTTATTCATATTAGCCACCCTTGAGGAATATCTTCCCGCGCTAATAGATCAATTTTCCACACTAACGGCTCAGTGTTTCCCTCAATGTGTGGCAACACTGAGACGTGGTTAGAGTGAAGTAAGAAAAGCAGACAATTCTGGAGAAACCCAGCAGTTTCTGTGGAGGGAGTAACGGAGTTCAGCACGGTTTCGAATTGGTTCAGTTCTGAAGGGGAATTATACCGGACTCTTATGAAACGTTAAACTTGTTTTTTTTTTCTCTTCATAGAAGCTGCCAGACGTGTTGAGTTTCACCAGCAGTTTGTGTTTATTGTGATGTCTTTGTGTGATGATTTTGGAAAAGGTTGCAGTCATGTCACCAGAAGGTGGCCCTCAGCTCTGGGTTTTATTGTTCTTTGTAGAAACAGCAGCTTCGCAAAGCAGGCGTGAGTCCTCAAAGCATAGGAACAATATCATAAATCACCAACCATTTATAGAGGGCTCTCAGGTGGGCGGTGGGGATTCTCCGATCACTCAAGGCACTTTTCCAGAGAAACAGCCTCGTTAACACCACGTCACACCTCAAAACAAAAGGGGGGCAATTACCCCCAGGGGCCAGGGCTGAATACAAATCGTTCGGAAAACCCTTACCTTTCTCCAAAACAGCCATTCATCACACGGATTGTTCACACAATAAACCCTTTTATTTTCCAACCACCAAGCCCAGCCGCCAGTTTTCACTGTGCTCGATTATTTACCGGTTAAACATTTCCGCTCACACCCTCCCACTTTACTTTCAAACCACTCAGAGGTCGAAGAGACATGGCTTTGTCCACAGTAAATTCAGAAGAGGCAATTCCAGCAGCATCTAAAGATTCAGAACTTTTGTAAACCGCCCTTTATCTCATTCCCAGATCAACTCTGCTTTGCTGGATGCACACTTCCCCATGTTGTTCTGGTCCCGCTGCCTAAAGTCAATTACTGCTTCCATACTTTGGCTAATTCTAGGATCAACTTCCCACCGACAGGTAATGTACTATTTGGAAAAGCGCAAACCTCCCCTAACGTGTGAGGCTTTCCCAGGCACACGCCAACCCACATCACAGTCTCCCTAACCCCTGTCGCCAGCAGCACATTTAAAGCTCTCACCTGCTCCAAGGCAGATCCACAAAAACAGAAAGGCGGACAAGTGGCGTGGCGGGTTCATCGCGGAACAATGTTCAGCAAAATGTCGTTTAAAATCCATCAGCGCTCGCACAGCAGCTCCAGGACTGAATGAAGAGAGTCCGCCGGAACAGGTACCAATACACCTGGAGGTCCCGCCCATATCTGAAATAAACTCCACCCTCTCACTGGAGAAAATATAGTTCCTAACTGGAATCAAACCCCACACCGCTTTGAAAAACACAAGCGTAACCACCCTGCCGACCACCCCCCCCACTCCAAAAAAAAAGCTGGAACTAATACTGCGCCATGGGGATATAGGCCATGAATACACCCACTGCACCTGACCAAATCCATACCTGGAATCTAGCTGCACAAGGAACAGGAACACATCTAGAACAATTCACACAGGGAAAAGGTTCATACCGGGGACACACCCACTGCTGGACAGATCCAGAACTGTATCATACCCACACCATGACAAATCCAAAACTAAAACAGAAAAGACCCACAATTGGAATCTGCCAAAAGGTGGAACAGACCAACAACGGAATCTGCACAGACCTGAATATGAAACAGTAACAGTCCTGTAAAGTTCCAAAACTGGAGAAGTCCCAAACAGAGCCACTCCTGGAAGAGATGCACAGCAGACCTGCATGTGGAACACGTTTGTACCTGGAACTAATTAGAACATAGAACAGTACAGGCCCTTCGGCCCACGATTTTGTGCCAAACTTTTACCCTAAACCTAAGGACTATCTAACCTCCACCCCTGCCTTATACTATCATCCATATGCCTATCTAATAGCCGCTTAAATGCCCCTAATGAGGCCAACTTCACTACCCTCTCTGGCAATGCATTCTACGCCCCTACCACTCTCTGAGTAAAGAACCTATCTCTGACGTCTCCCCTATATCTACGTCCACTCACTTTAAAACTATGCCCCCTCGTAATAGCTACCTCCACCCTAGGATAAAGTTCTCAGAGGAAATGGAACTGCTGAGTTACAGATCCACACAGATCCAAACCTGGAAGAAGAATCTATATCTGAAACTGAAGGCACTGGAACTAGGTGAACACATGAAACAGTTCCCCCACCAGTGAAACCACATGAAGGTAGATGCCCAAAACCTAACTGCACCTGAAACACACCCATAGCAAGACCACACACTCGCAGGCCTCAAAGAGAATGCACTCTAAGCAGACCCACATCTGGAATGCACCTAGAATAGAACACTTCCAGAGTTGGAATGCACACACTTGAAACTGAATACAACTGGAACACATTCCCTGCTGGACCATAAAACACCAGGAAAACATTTGTATCTGGAGCACACTCCCAGCTAAATAACACACACTGAGAATAGACCCAAACCAGGAACAGACATGGTCCAGGTTCAGAAACACATCAGGATCTGACTCACACCAGGAGCAAACCCACACCAGGAACAGAATTAAAACATCCAGCACCTGAAATAATTACTCTTACCTACCTTCCTCCTTGAGGTTTTTAACATCGTATCTGGTGTCAATATGGAAATTATTCTGCCACTGTGGATGGTGTCGTGCAAGCTAACCTCATCTTAACTAAGTCTTGTTCATTAAAGAAGGAAACCTAATTGAATATGGGCAAAAGACGTTAAATCATACCTCGCTGTTTCGAGGATCCACCTTATATGTGGTTGGCTTGTTTGAACTGGAGAACAGATGTGTGGTGTCACGGACAGCACTAGTGACTCCTTTTATTTTGTGCCCGGACCATATCCAATTTTCATAACATGCTTCTCACCTCCTCAGGACTTCTGAACATTCCTGACTGCAAATGAGGTCATTTTGAATTAGGTCAATGGCTAATTCTTTACAATGGCTTTCCTTTATAAAAAATTACCTCGTGAATCAGCAGCCTTCTTGCTTTCAGCGTCGGGAGTGGTGAGAGCGCGAGCCGGGAAATGAACTAATATATTCGGGCATTGGCTAAACCCGAAACACTGCACGTGTAGTGTCTCCCACCCATCCTCCTCCTCTAACCAAAAAAACAAGACTGTGTGGAGGGTTGGTAAGGTAAGGTGTTTTCTTCTTTATTCTTCTGGAAATCTAGAGTAGAGGGAATGGAAGCTAGGGCAGTTGCGTGCTCCTCTTGTAGGGTGTGGGAGGTAAGGGTCACTGCTGGTGTCCCTTCTGACTTCACCTGCGAGAAGTGCACCCAACTCCAGCTCCTCAAAAACCGTGTTAGGGAACTGGAGCTGGAGCTGGATGAACTCCGGATCATTCGGGACGCTGAGGGGGTGATAGAGAGGAGTTATAAGGTACAGGAAAAAGGTAGCTGGCTGACTGTCAGGAGGGGGAAAGGGAATAGGCAGACAGTCCAGGGATCCCCTGTGGCCATTCCCCTCAATAATAAGTATACCGTTTTGGATACTTTTGGGGGGGGACGACCTACCAGGGGAAAGCCAAAGCGGCCAGGTCTCTGGCACTGAGCCTGGCCCTGTGGCTTAGAAGGGAAGGGGGGAGAATAGGAGAGTGATAGTGATAGGAGATTCAATGGTTAGGGGAACAGACAGGAGATTCTGTGGTACCGAGCGAGCCTCCCTGATGATATGTTGCCTTTCGGGTGCCAGAGTCAGGGATGTCTCAGATCGAGTCTTCAGGATTCTTAAAGGGGAGGGAGAGCAGTCAGAAGTCGTGGTACACATCGGTACTAATAACATAGCTAGGAAGCGGGATGAGGACCTGAAAAGTGATTATAGGGAGTTATGATGGAAGCTGAAAGCCAGGATGGGTAGAGTAGTAATCTCAGGATTACTACCGGTGCCATGGGCTAGTGAGGCTAGAAACAGATAGAGAGTGCAACTGAACACGTGGCTACAGAGCTGGTGTAGGAGGGAGGGCTTCAGGTTTGTGAATCTTTGGGATACCTTCTGGGGAAGGTGGGACCTGTACAGGAAGGACGGGTTGCACCTGAACTGGAGGGGCACCAATATCCTGGGCGGGAGGTTTGCTAGAGCTCTTCGGGAGGGTTTAAATGGATGGGAACTGGAGCTACATATCAGAGAATGGGGTAGTCAGTGTACAGACAGATAGAGCAAACAGAGAGTCTATGAGGAAGGATAAGCAGTTGACAGGGCAAAGTGACAGTCAGTGCGACAGGTTGAGGTGTATCTACTTCAATGCAAGAAGTGTCAGGAATAAGGGTGACGAACTTACAGCATGGATCAGTGCTTGGAACTATGATGTTGTGGCCATTACGGAGACTTGGATAACACAGGGGCAGGAATGGTTGTTGGATGTTCCGGGGTGCAGATGTTTCAAAAGAAATAGGGAGGGAGATAAAAGAGGTGGGGGATTGGCATTGCTAATCAGGGATGGTATCACAGCTGCAGAAAGGGAGGTCGTGGAGGAGGGTTTCTCCACTGAGTCAGTATGGGTGGAAGTCAGAAACAGGAAAGGAGCAGTCACTTTCTTGGAGTTTTCTATAGACCCCCCAGTAGCAACAGAGACACTGAGGAACAAATTGGGAGACAGATTTTGGAAAGGTGCAGAAGTAATACGGTTGTCGTCATGGCCGACTTCAAATTCCCTAATATAGACTGGAAACTCCTAAGTGCAAATAGTTTGGATGGAGCAGATTTTGTCAGGTGTGTCCAGGAAGGATTTCTGATTCAATATGTAGATAGGCCGACTAGAGGGGAGGCCACATTGTATTTGGTGCTTGGCAACAAACCAGGTCAGGTGTCAAATCGCTTGGTGGGAGACCATTTCGGTGATAGTGATCCCAACTCCCTGACTTTTACTATAGTCATGGAGAAGGATAGGAGCAGATGGTATGGGAAAGTATTTAATTGTGGGAGGAAGAATTACAATGCTATTAGGCAAGAACTATGGAGCACCAATTGGGATCAGATGTTCTTAGGGAAATGCATGATAGAAATGTGGAGGTTGTTTAGGGAGCAGTTGCTACAGGTACTGGATAGGTTTGTTCCACTAAGGCAAGGAAAGGTTGGTAAGGTGAAGGAACCTTGGATGACAAGACATGTGGAACACCTAGTCAAGAGGAAGAAGGAAGCTTACTTAAGGTTGAGGAAGCAAGGGTTGGACAGGGCTCTAGAGGTCTACAAGGTAGCCAGGAAGGAACTGAAGAATGGACTTAGGAGAGCTAGAAGGCGGTATGAGAAAACCTTGGCAGGAAGGATCAAGGAAAACCCCAAGGCTTCTATACTTATGTGAGGAACAAGAAGATGGCCAGAGTGAACTTGTGCGCGGAGTCAGAGGAGGTAGGGGAGGTCCTTAATGAATACTTTGCTTCAGTATTCACCAGCGAGAGGGACCTTGACATTTGTGAGGACAGCACGAAACAGGCAGACATGTTCAAACAGGTTGTTGCTAGAAAGGAGGATGTGCTAGAAATTTTGAAAAACATGAGGATGGATAAGTCCCCTGGGCCAGACAGGATATACCCAAGGTTCCTACGGGAAGCGAGGGAAGAGATTGCTGCCCCTTCGGCAATGATCTTTGTATCCTTGCTGTCCATTGGAGTAGTGCCAGAGATTGGAGGATGGAAATGTCATTCCCTCGTTCAAGAAAGGGAATAGGGATAATCCTGGAAATTACAAACCAGTCAGTCTTACTTCTGTGGTGGGCAAATTATTGGAGAAGATTCTGAGAGATAGTATTTATGACTATTTGGAAAAGCACAGTTTGATTAGAAATAGTCAGCATGGCTTTGTGAGGAGCAGGTCATGCTTTACAAGCCTTATTGAATTCTTTGAGAATGCGACAAAATACATGATGAAGGTAGAGCAGTGGATGTGGTGTATGTGGATTTTAGCAAGGCATTTGATAAGGTTCCACATGGTAGGCTCATTCAGAAAGTAGGGAGGCATGAGATTCAGGGAAATTTGGCTGTCTGGAAACAAAACTGGCTGTCCAATAGAAGACAGAGGGTGGTAGTAGACGGAAAGTATTCAGCCTGGAGCTTGGTGACCAATGGTGTGCCACAGGGATCTGTTCTGGGACCTCTAGTCTTTGTGATCTTTATAAATGACTTGGATGAGGAAGTGGAAGGGTGGGTTAGTAAGTTTGCCGATAACACGAAGG